GAACTTGGAATATTATTTACTCACTTCCGTAATAGCCTCCATACTTATCTGGAAAAAATCATATACAGTATAGAGACAGGTGTATATATTTTAGTTCGTATACATTCAGCCATCAAAACATCATTGACTATGCACTAGTGGTAAGATGGCAGTCTAAAGGCATGGCGAACGATATATAGCTGATAATAACTGTATTTGCCATCCAAAACAGGATCTTCCACAGGAGATATTTCTTGGGAGATATCTTCGATCATGACTGACATTACATAACAATACTTTGCAGACCTTTGTAACATCATCTGTTTCATGATGTCACAATCAAATGACATCCCAAAACGTTCTGCCACTGTTTGTTTGTTTTTTGTTTAACACCGCACTCAGCAATATTCCATTTATATGACGGCGGTCTGTAAATAATCGTGAGTCGTGGGAAAGTAGAAAGTAGCGGGTACTGGTGCGAATTCGTCGAATTCAGAAAATATGTGTATCCAATTGTCGTAGATCGATGCTCATGGTGTCAATTACTGGATTGTCTGGTCCAGGCTGCCGTCATATAGCTGGAATAATGCTGAGAGCGGCGTTAGGCATAAAGAAAGAAACAAAGAAACTCTACTATCTCTCATATATACAGTTTCACCAGAAGGGTGTTGAACTGGGTACGACGTGGTACTACTGACTTTGGTGGGGGTATCCAGGGTATCTCCCTCCGGGATACACATCCGATTTCTGACCGTGGTACGGATACTGGTCGTACACAGCACCGGAACACACCAGCACGCATGCGCATATCAGGGCAACAGACAAGATAGATGCCATGGTTCAGATTCTGAAAGAGATGAATTATTTTTAGCTGTTTTCAAATGTTTTGACAAGACGATATACAACTTCGATAGCATCTACACATTGTAGATCATAATACATGATATTCATTGTTAAGACCGCAACCGAATACAGAAGTTCAGAAGCAGACATCTAGATGAAACCACACCTTCTTAAGGTGGCTTTGTTGTAGAAAGAAGAAAAGACTCACCAGAAAGTCAGCAATCAGTCTGAAGAGAAAGATGTCAGTGTTCTGGAAAAGTCACACGGGTCTTATATACACGTTGAACCGACGAGACGTTTTTTGGATGCATTATGTTGTCATAAATTATTCTGAATCATGCGTCTACAGGCTGAAAAAATATTTTGCTGGTCATGTCACGGTAGACTGCCCAGCGACAGGGACAAAAGATGGTGTAATAACTTGTGAGGTCTTCCGCCATTGATTTTTTTCAGCTGTCATTTCTTTTTTAATTGCTCACGTGAAACATGACAGAAAACACTCATGCGATGGTAGCTTTCGTTTTCTGTACATCGGTTCTGCTACATATGATTGCGAGAAAGCCTGTTCACTTCTTCACTCTAACCTAATGGTATTGTTTCCGTTGGATTCCTGATAGAATTGCCCCCCGGTACCTGTGCCATGCTATCGATTTGTTTATTTGTTTGTTTGTTTGTTTGTTGTTTAACGCCGTACTCAACAATATGCCAGCTATATGACGGCGGTCTGGAAATAATAGAGTTTGGATCAGACAATGCAGTGACTGACATCATGAGCACCGATCCGCGCAATTGGGATACGATGACATGCATCAACCAAGTCAGCAAGCCTTACCACCCGATCCCGTTAGTCACCTCTTACGACAAGCAAAGTCGCCTTTTACAGCAAGCATGGGTTGCTGAAGACCTATTCTACTCCAGATCTTAACAGGTGGCATGTTGTCGATTAAACAGATTGGCGGAGTGTGTGTCACCATGACCAGATTGCGTGGATCTTAGGTCACTGACATGCTTTCAATCACCGGGTTGTCTGGTCAAGACTAGATTATTTTAATTGCTGACACTCACTCACTCACTCGAGCTATAATTTTCTTTTAACTATTAGTTTTGGTGACTGACGGGATCGGGTGGCCATGCTCGCTGACTTGGTTGATGCATGTTATCGTATCACAATTGCGTGGATCGATGCTCATGATGTCAATCACTGGATTGTCTGGTCCAGACCCAATTATTTCAGTTTCAGATGATATTCAATATGTGTGAAAGATATTTCCAATTAATTGCAACAGTTCTAATAAGGGACACATGTGCAACTTTGTGTGTGTAAATTCCCTCGGCCACCACAGATAAATGAGTGCATCAAATGCAGCCAAGCCGAATGCTGCACCTGATTTCCAGTTTACGCTCGACGCGCGAATATGGCAACGAGTTCCGCTACATTAAAATCATCAACATTTATCAAACTGTTTTTCTCTCTTTTAGAAACTAATGTATCACTCTCGAATTAGGAAACTCGTGAAGTAAATATGAATTACACTGTTTAGCCATGTATAAGTATAAGTATATTCTAATGTGTGTTAGGATAATTTTACTTTCGAATATAGTTATATAAACTGTGAGACAAAAAGAACTATACCTCTCAGTTGATTTTTTCATCTGCTTTTCATATTCAATTGAACATATCTTAAGTTAGCGATATTATATAAAATGAACTGTGCTGTACTTGTCAAAGAGTACTTTGAACATAATTTGATTTAAAATTTATAAAAATATATTCAAAATCCGCCAAATACACAACTGCTGATTGGTACCTTAATATCTTATAAACATAATAAATTTTCCCTTTTTTCTCTCCAACATTTCAAACATGTGGTCGTGTGGTTGCCAATCCATTTCTTACGCCGGTCAATTCTATTTTAATACAATTATCCAACGACAGATTACTTTTTAAAAAATGTTGCAGGAATGAGTGATGCTTAAACAAAACTAATCAAATTTAACAACGGTTCTTCAATTTCAAATTACATAAAATAAACCAACATCGGTATACTTTCATTTACCTCTCAGTTTAAATACTTCAGAATCAACGCTGATGTCCAGAAACTTCCTACATTGTAACCATATGGGGAATCGTGTCTGGCTCAATAATCACAGTGTTGTTGTGTCATAACAATGATTATTACCCTCGTGGTTGAGATACAGGTGGTAAGATACTAAATTCGTACTTCACACGTGTATTGTACAAGGTTGACCTCGTTTTCTTCGTTTTGATTGGATAACCCTTGACTTCTGTCACACCGGAACTACTTTTTTCATTCATAAAAAAATCACGAGACGTCATTCTATTTGCAACGACAATGCAGAATTGAAGAAATGAGAGACATTTACACACACTTTATTAAACCAAACAAGATAGTCACACGCATCAAACTTCGCTTTGCATTCTATATTAGTTATGCACAGAGCTACTACAGACATTATATAACAGAGCTTATCCATTTGCAATGTATTACTACCGATCAATAGATCGAGCGTGTCTATGAGAGTGAAGGCACCCAACCAATTTCTCGACTTTCAATTTGATTTAACATAAATGCATACGCGTGGTGAAATGAAGTCAGTTTTAACTATCTGGATATATATCGGGACTAACGTTGGATGCTCGCATCGACTCAGGACCACGCATTCATGAGATTTATGTGATTATCTTACGTACGTAATAATGGATACATGTCTACAGAATATCAAACGTGCACATACATATCAAACATTAACCAGTCTCGATTACCGACGGAACAGTTTCCACTGGGTGTAAATAAATTCTATAATTATTGCAATATTACAAGAGCGATTTTGGCAATATTTATTTCCTTGCAGCTTTGTCTAGTCACCTGGCTTGGAAGACTTAAAGATTCACCACGTGACCCCACACGGAGTGCACGCCGAGAAGGAACAACGCCTTGCTTACAGCAGAGGCGAGACTTTTCGGAAATATTATAATTATGAATAATATTTGAGAAACAAATATGTAGCAGGGAATACTTGTGCCTTCGTGTAACATGTTAGAAAAAACATGTATTCATATTTGTATTTATCCTGGAAAAATATATAATTGACTCTATAACTTTTCAATTGAAGTTCTTTTCTGAAACTGTAAATCCTTGTTATTTTGGGTCATAACAGTTCCAACAGGCACTACAAGCTGATGTGTGTGTTTGACATTCACTAAGACCGCCTCCATGGTGTAGTGGAAGAGCGTCCGCCCGGAGAGCGGAAGGTCCGGGTTTCGATCCCCGGACGCGTCATAAAAACCCCCGTTAAAAGATGGTACTTGTTGTTACCTTGCCTAGCGCCTGGCTTTGAAGACTTAAATGTTCACCAGGTGACTCGACACGGAGTGCACGCCGAGAAGGAACAATGCCTTGCTTACAGCAGAAGCGACACTTGCGGTCCGCAAATATGGTAATTATGGATATTATTTGAGAAAGAAATATGTAGCAGGGAATACCTGCGTTCTTCGTCTAACATGTTACAAAAATCATGTATTCATATCTGTATTTATCCTTGAAAAAATATATAATTGACTCTATAACTTTTCAATTGATGTTCTGTTCTAAAACTGGAAATCTTTGCTATAATGTGTCCGCATGTCATTGCACGATTATAACAGCTCCAACAAGCAATACAAGCTGATGTGTGCGTTTGACATTCACTAAGACCGCCTCCATGGTCTAGTGGAGAGCGGAAGGTTCGGGGTTCGATCCCTGGACACATCATACCAAACAACGATAAAAGATGGTACTTGTTGTTACCCTGCCTGGCGCCCGGCATTAAGACGCTAAAACAAGGACTGGTCGGCTTGAAGTCAGTATACTGTGTGGGGTATTCATGGTAAACTGCAGCATGGTATCTCAGTGGGATAGCACTATAAAATCGGCATTAGTCCGTACTAGTTCAAGCAGGCATACACACACACACACACACACACACACACACACACACACACACACACACACACACACACACACACACACACACACACACACACACAAATGCATACACCTCAAGTATAGTGATCTTGAACACGACGTCAAACCTCACCTCACATACACTTAAGTACGTATATGCGCAACTATTTGTCAGAGCCACCTAAATATGTTATAGAAAACAAAACTACATCATAAATATACAACATTTATTTCTTGTAATGCATGCACATCGCATTATTCAGATGCCGGATTCTGGGCCGCCTGTGGTATCCCGCCATCGCTGAAATACACAAGTCGTGGTTATTACAAAATGAACACACCAAATGCCAGTATAACACTATTTGTCGTCACGTCATATGTCAGATTTCAAGTCCTCGGCTATCATATTGTAACGAGAGATAGGATAATGGATTGGTCTAAGGCCTCGCGATTCACTCTGCATATCCACTATCCATACCTCTATCAACTGTAGTGACTTCGAATACCCAATTAGCAACAAATATATTCCTTGGTCCATCTTTGTGATTTGTAGTCACTTGGTCACTGAGTTTCCAGCATTAAGCTGACATTTCGTGAACCAGCGGTACAATTTACCTACTCACCCAAATAAGACTACCTCTGTCTCTCTGGAGACTCTACCGACTTGTAAATTCACAAACAGTTTCTTGATACGTAAGCTTGAGATGACGGATTGAGTAATACAAAGGAAAGTATATGAGTGAGTATGGTATAACGCCGGTTTTATCAATATTCCAGCAATATCACGGCGGGGGACACCGGAAATGGGCTTCACACATTGTACCCATGTGGGGAATCGAACCCGGGTCTTCGGAGTGACGAGCGAACGCTTTAACCACGAGGCTAACCCCCGCCCCTAGGAAAGGATTATTTGAACTACTTATGGCAACCGTTGTAGGAATAATACTGACTTCTTTCAAACTGTTCCACATTTGTATTCAGCAAATTGTATTGTAAAATTGTTAGATAATAATAACGAGTGTTAATAAACATCGGTTCTAAATATATGAACTCATCATGAACATGTTGACTTATGTGGTATTGACCGAAGAACACTCGACAGTGCAAGGTCAATTTAAATGGATTGTGCAATGTATTATAATAATATTATTAATATTTTCAATACCTTATGGTTAATAGTGTTTCTGTGTGGGGTATTTTGGGTAGTACGGGTATCCTGTCGGGTAGTACGGGTAGTGTCTTGGGTAGCTACCATCACCATAGGATGGTACAGATCGTCGGTACCCTGGTCAAGGTAAAACAAGATGTTATAATTATGTCAGATACATCATGAGGACAATGACAGGAATTCTTAGTTAAAACACGTGTGTGTTGTGATATAAGATAATTCATTGGGAAGAGACGTAAATATTATATCGACACTATTGACATAATTGAATCCATATAATATTATAGAAAGTTTATTTTATAAAAGTTACATGTGGCACTGATTACTTACTTTAATGTAATCCCGTTTGCAAGAGATATTTTTTTTGATATAAATGATTGCAATATAAATAAACATTGTATTTAAATTTACGAAAAGATACATTGATTTTTAAGACCGAAATCCATAATGTAACAAATGTTATATTTGGGATAACACTTTTTCAGTAAAGTACAGATTCTAGTACTTTTGTGGGTTGAGTCCCAAACAGGATTCGAACCCACACTGCCAGAGTGAGGCACCTAATCACTAGCACACAATGTAGCTTCCACAAAAACGAAAGTCCGACAACTGGTAGGCAAGCCACGGATGGGACTCAACCCCAGAAAGTACTAGAATCTGTACTCTACTTAGAAAACGTTATCCCAAACATAACTTTTGTTACATTTGACCATTTTTTTCAATTGTATTGTGTGCTAGTATTCACACGAACTTCATAATATTATGATATGATATGAAGAAGAACTTGGAATATTATTTACTCACTTCCGTAATAGCCTCCATACTTATCTGGAAGAAATCATATACAGTATAGAGACAGGTGTATATATTTTAGTTCGTATACATTCAGCCATCAAAACATCATTGACTATGCACTAGTGGTAAGATGGCAGTCTAAAGGCATGGCGAACGATATATAGCTGATAATAACTGTATTTGCCATCCAAAACAGGATCTTCCACAGGAGATATTTCTTGGGAGATATCTTCGATCATGACTGACATTACATAACAATACTTTGCAGACCTTTGTAACATCATCTGTTTCATGATGTCACAATCAAATGACATCCCAAAACGTTCTGCCACTGTTTGTTTGTTTTTTGTTTAACACCGCACTCAGCAATATTCCATTTATATGACGGCGGTCTGTAAATAATCGTGAGTCGTGGGAAAGTAGAAAGTAGCGGGTACTGGTGCGAGTTTCGTCGAATTCAGAAAATATGTGTATCCAATTGTCGTAGATCGATGCTCATGGTGTCAATCACTGGATTGTCTGGTCCAGGCTGCCGTCATATAGCTGGAATAATGCTGAGAGCGGCGTTAGGCAACAAAGAAAGAAACAAAGAAACTCTACTATCTCTCATATATACAGTTTCACCAGAATGGTGTTGAACTGGGTACGTCGTGGTAGTACTGACCTTGGTGGGGGTATCCAGGGTAGCTCCCTCCGGGATACAAACCCGGTTTCTGACCGTGGTACGGATACTGGTCGTACACAGCACCGGAACACACCAGCACGCATGCGCATATCAGGGCAACAGACAAGATGGATGCCATGGTTCAGATTCTGAAAGAGATAAATTATCTTTAGCTGTTTTCAAATGTTTTGACAAGACGATATACATCTTCGACAGCATCTTCATATTGTAGATCAAAATACAAGCTATTCTTTGTTGAGACCGCAACGGAATACAGAAGTTCAAAAGCAGACATCTAGATGAAACCACACCTTCTTAAGGTGGCTTTGCTATATAGGTAAGTTCATTTACAAAGCCCCACACCCAAACAGATTACATTTGCATTTATCTAGCACTTGGATGTCAACATATATAAAAAGCTTCAGTAAAGTTTGAACAGCGTAAATAAAGGTGCTTGTTTCTGACAAATTTCCTAGTATTACCATCTAGCAATGTCGAAGTTGATTGCTAAGGAAAGAAGAAAAGACTCACCAGAAAGTCAGCAATCAGTCTGAAGAGAAAGATGTCAGTGTTCTGGAAAAGGCACACGGGTCTTATATACACGTTGAATCGACGAGACGTTTTTTCGATGCATTACGTTGTCATAAATTATTTGGAATTATGCGTCTACAGCCTGAAAAAAATATTTTGCTGGTCATGTCACGGTAGACTGCCCGGCGACAGGTACAACAGATGGTGCAATAGGTTGTGAGGTCTTCTGCGATGGATTTTGTCAGCTGTCATTTCTTTTTTAATTGCTTACGTGAAACATGACAACACTTTAAGGAAACACTCATGGGATGGTAGCTTTCGTTTTCTGTACATCGGTTCTTCTACATATTGTTATAAGGTTAAAAATGCATCTAAAACACTTTAGAAAATGGTAAGAAATAAAACCGTTATAGCTGCAATGAGGAGTTGCATTAGATACAGTTTGTGACAGAGCTTTTAGTTCGAAAGGAATCAATATATAAAAGACATTTCACATTTATCACAAGTGTATTCTGAACATTTCATGATTATCATTGGATTGGTTCCTGGTTCTCGTCCATTAGTTAATGAAACAAATAGAGAGTTTCAAGGTATATTTCCTTTGGAGCTTCCGGATGCGAGTCACAAAATCAAAAGAGAGGTGAGCAATCTGGCACGTAGGCTTCTGTATTTTTCCCATTACGACACACATGAGTTCATGGTCAGATCTAACTTTTAACGAATCAGAATGAATTATTGTGACATGTGACAAAGACAGGCCAGGCCCGAACCCTATAGAATGATACCTTCAACATTAGGAGAGGAGAGGGCGGTTTGCAATCGATCGAGTCGAATCCCGATCGTTCTAAGTTTTCCCCAGTTAGTGACTAGTCTGGCTGGTCTGATCCTGTCCCGTGTTGATAGATGGGCTCTCAGTAAGTAAAACTATGTGAGCATAAAGCTGGTGTTGCGTTTCTTTATTATGCGAGTATGAATGCTGATAGAGACAACTTGGAGTAAGTGTTGTTAGACCAATCACTCCTTGACGTAACCGAGCCGCTGCGGACACGGCGAGTTGCAATGTCATGGGGTAAATGACCATGATGACCAGGAACGGCAATACATTTAGTGACTGTAGTAGGGTCGCACTGGACGCCCGAAAGCAGTTACGACAATATGATTGCAAAAAATCCTGTTGACTTCTTCACTCTCATCTCATAGTATTGTTCCGTTGGATTCCTGATAGAACTGACCCCCGGTACCTGTGCATGCCGTCGATTTGTTTATTTGTTTGATTGTTTGTTGTTTAACGCCATACTCAGCAATATGCCAGCTATATGACGGCTGTCTGGAAATATTCGAGTCTGAGAATATTCAGAATATTGCTGAGTGCCGCGTAAATAGATCTTTAGCAACCAATGCATGCTATAAAAGGCGACTTTGCTTGTCGTAAGAGGCGACTGATGGGATTGGGTGGTCAGGCTCGCTGACTTGGTTGATGCATGTTATCGATCCCAATTGCGTGGATCGATGCTCATGATGTCAATCACTGGATTGTCTGGTCCAGACTCGATTATTTCCAGACGGCCCTCATATAGCTGGCATATTGCTGAGTGCAGCGTAAAACAACAAACAAACTATTGCTATTGTTTTTATTTATAGAAATCCATAAGAGATGATATTCAGTATGTGTATGAAGTACATTTCCAATTAATGACAACAGTTTTCACAATAAAGGACACATTTGCATCTTCGTATATGTCAATTCCCTTCACCACCACACATAAATGAGTGCATTAAATGCAGCTCAGCCGAATGCTGCACCTGACTATGAGTTCACTATGTACGCTCGAATATGGCGGCGAGTTCCGCTACATTGAAATCATCAACATTTATCAAAAGGTTTTTCTCTAATGTAGAAACTGTTGTATCACTGTCGAATTAGGAAGCTCGTGAAATAAATATGAATTGCACTGTTTGGCCATGTAAAGGACGAGATAAGCAAAGCTTTCCTGGTCCATCAATTCCAACATTGTCACAGTCTTTCCTGGTGATAATTTAAGGTAACGAATAAGAGCTCGATGTAATTGATGTTTTTTGCATGATTGGGTCCAAAACAGCGTGCCATGACGTACCACATAAAATCGGTAACGAGGGACCACGCCTCACAATCTGGAGCTGAGGGCTAGACGTTGTTATTGAAGCCTGCTGTGCAACTGATAGTGTTTACAGTAAGAAGATTACTGTATTAACTTGTTACATATTGCATGACAAATAGGTGAATTTGGTTTAACGTCACAATGGACAGTATTTCAGTCATATCTCGGTGTGTCAGCTTGATTTGGGAGGAAGTGATCCAGGTCTTAGGAGTTGACATCTTTGGTGGAACCCATCACCAGGGGTGTGGTGATGAAACCAGAAACATCATCAAGGCGAATCTGGCATCCATCCATCCATCCATCCATCCATCATGTTGTTTTCACAATATATTGTTACCACAGTAGTGGCCCGGTTGATATCACAGCAGGGGCCTGATAATACTGATTAATCTTTTACGTTCCTTGATAAGCCTCTGGGGCGTATAGTAAGCCAACGCCATGCGTTGTCGATGTGTGTGTCATTAGTTAGTAGCTATAGGTGTTCCCGTTCGATTCCCAAACCCCGGACAACCCTGGTGAATGCGAATTGACAATTTTTGGGTACCTACGTTAACTTGGTTGACCAATGCGGGATCATATAAACTGATTGACTTCGGTTGACAAAAGTTGCCCTCACCTACTCAAGCCCTGGGATGCGATACTCTGTCAAAGCCAAAGCTGTCAAAGCTAATTAGTCTTCGTGATTGATTCAGTCATGAAAAAAGCATGCAACGAATATAATTAAATAGGCATTAATAGTTTAAATGTATTCTAATGTGTGTTAGGATAATTTTTCTTTCGAATATAGTTATATTAACTGTGAGACAAAAAGAACTATATATCCCTCAGTTGATTTTTTTCATCTGCTTTTTATATTCAATTGTAACATAAAAGTAGGTATGTTCCCTGATCTGATTGGTTAAAAAATGTTGTCGAACGAGCATAACATCACTGAATTTTTTGGGTCTCATCACCGTGTTTGTATACATTAATTAATGGAACTATTTTTGAAATCAAGACTAGAGTATTTTAATTGCTGGCACTCACTCACTCACTCGAGCTATAATTATTATGACTTTTGTTTTAACTATTAGTTTTGGTGACTGACGGGATCGGGTGGCCATGCTCGCTGACTTGGTTGATGCATGTTATCGTATCACAATTGCGTGGATCGATGCTCATGATGTCAATCACTGGATTGTCTGGTCCAGACCCAATTATTTCAGTTTCAGATGATATTCAATATGTGTGAAAGATATTTCCAATTAATTGCAACAGTTTCCAATAAGGGACACATGTGCAACTTTGTGTGTGTAAATTCCCTCGGCCACCACAGATAAATGAGTGCATCAAATGCAGCCAAGCCGAATGCTGCACCTGATTTCCAGTTTACGCTCGACGCGCGAATATGGCGACGAGTTCCGCTACATTAAAATCATCAACATTTATCAAACTGTTTTTCTCTCTTTAAGAAACTGATGTATCACTGTCGAATTAGGAAACTCGTGAAGTAAATATGAATTACACTGTTTAGCCATGTAAAGGACGAGATAAACAAAGCTTTCCTGGTCAATCAATTCCAACATTGTCACCTACTTTCCTGTTGATAATTTAAAAGTGTGGCAGCTTGATTTGGGAGGAGGAGTTGACATCTTTGGTGAAACCCATGACCACGGGTGTGGTGATGAAACCAGAAACATCATCAAGGCGAATTCTGGGATCCATGCATCCATCCATCCATCCATCCATCCGTCATGTTGTTTTCACAATATATTGTTTCAACAGTAGTAGCCCGGTAGATATCACAACAGGGGCCTGATAGTGCTGATTAATCTTTTACGTTCCTTGATAAGCCTCTGGGGCGTATAGTAAGCCAACGCCATGCGTTGTCGATGTGTGTGTCATTAGTTAGTAGCTATAGGTGCTCCCGTTCGATTCCCAAACCCTAGACAACCCTGGTGAATGCGACTTGAAATTTTTGGTTACGTTAACATGGTTGACTTATTCGGGATCATATTAACTGATTGACTTCGGTTGACCAAAGTTGCCCACACCTACTCAAGCCCTGGGACGCGATACTCTGTCAAAGCCTGTAAAGCTAATTAGTCTTAGTGATTGATTCAGTCATGAATAAAAGCATTCAATGAATATAATTAACTAGGAATTGATAGTATAAGTATATTCTAATGTGTTTTAGGGTAATTTTACTTTCGAATATAGTTATATAAACTGTGAGACAAAAAGAACTATACCTCTCAGTTGATTTTTTCATCTGCTTTTCATATTCAATTGAACATATCTTAAGTTAGCGATATTATATAAAATGAACTGTGCTGTACTTGTCAAAGAGTACTTTGAACATAATTTGATTTAAAATTTATAAAAATATATTCAAAATCCGCCAAATACACAACTGCTGATGGGTACCTTAATATCTTATAAACATAATAAATTTTCCCTATTTTCTCTCCAACATTTCAAACATGTGGTCGTGTTGTTGCCAATCCATTTCTTACGCCGGTCAATTCTATTTTAATACAATTATCCAACGACAGATTACTTTTTAAAAAATGTTGCAGGAATGAGTGATGCTTAAACAAAACTCATCAAATTTAACAACGGTTCTTCAATTTCAAATTACATAAAATAAACCAACATCGGTATACTTTCTTTTACCTCTCAGTTTAAATACTTTAGAATCAACGCTGATGTCCAGAAACTTCCTACATTGTAACCATATGGGGAATCGTGTCTGGCTCAATAATCACAGTGTTGTAGTGTCATAACAATGATTATTACCCTCGTGGTTGAGATACAGGTGGTAAGATACTAAATTCGTACTTCACACGTGTATTGTACAAGGTTGACCACGTTTTCTTCGTTTTGATTGGATAACCCTTGACTTCTGTCACACCGGAACTACTTTTTTCATTCATAAAAAAAACACGAGACGTCATTCTATTTGCAACGACAATGCAGAATTGAAG